CTCATAAGCAAATCCCAACGACATAAAATCCAAGTGGTGAGGGTCAAGGCTGAAGCCGACAACCGGGCCATATTAATCACAGGAGGGTCCAGTGACTGGCCAAGAACAGATCAGAAGGCAGGTGGAAGGCCTGAGACAACAACTGTAAAGAGGAAAGAACACTTAAAAGATTGGTTAATGTAATGCGAATTGTAGTAAACTGGGATCTATTAAAGTGAACCAAGGCATCAGGATTAAACCCCACAAGGGAAAGAAAGGATCTAAACATTGAGAATCTAAATAGGGATTTGAGGCATGTTGATAAGCAAAAGAGAACCAGTCCAAAAACCGAGGGGAGACGAAGCATACACACTCCTAAATGTACATGAGCAGCAAAATGTTAAGCATGAACAAGAATGTTTGGAGAGGGAGGAAAATAATAATAATCAAAATGAGGCTCTTCTCCCAGCAAGGAAGATGTAGAAGAATCAAGGGCTAAAGGGGAAATATAAAATTTTACAAGCCTGATCAATAAGATGCAAGAAAGGCATGGTCAGAAGACTCTCCTGCTTGTCAGTTATATGACTGGCTAAGAAGCTAAAAAACAAAAGCATGATTCTGGAGGAAGGGAGAACAAGCAGAATAAGCAGCAAAAGCATCCAACTCCTGCTGAAGTAATGCCTGAATCTCCTTGGCCAACATTAGCAACTCACCCCGCTGGGGACTAGTGATACGAGTTTCTTCCATATTGGTGGGAACTTCTCCATCCACCACATGAAAATTCTAATTCATAAGTCCCTTGACGAAAAACTTCCTCAGAAGCATGGTCCTGGGGTAAGGGAGAATAAGCAGCAAAAGCATCCAACTCCCACCAAATTAATGGCTGAATCTCCTTGGCCAACACTGGCAACTCGCCTTGCTGGGGACTAGCAAAATGAGTTTTGTCCATATTGGCAGAAGCTTCTCCATCTGCTACATGAAGATTCAAATTCATAAGTCCAAATAGACTTTTGAAAAAAAAAGTAAAGGAACTACAAAATGAACAAGTAATTCCAAATAAAAGTGAAAACTAGCAAGAACACACTCAAAAATATATCAAAATTCACTTGAAGAACAACTGAAAACACACGACTGAACACTGTTGTGCCAATCAAGAAAGTGAGGTGTGCTTCAATGGTACTAGTATAGAGGGCAAAATGTGATTGGTGGAGGGTGGTCACATGATCAACACATATTGCTGCAATTACGCAAAGAATACAGGGGTATAAAAGACTGGTGCACTGTTCATAAGATTTACCAATGTCTAGAGGGCAAATGAAGGTTGAGATAGCTATGAGGGGGGGAAGGGGAGGTACTACCATTTCAGAAAAAAGATATTTTAGTAGTGTACATAGTATATCTATGAATTTTTAACCATGAAAATGCTACTATACACTATGTTTCCTCACTAGGCCTACTCAAGTAATCTTTTTATATCCAAAATATTTGATTTTCCAAAGTAGAAAATATAACATTTAGGACAACGAGGGGCTTATTAGTCCATTAAGTCTGTCCTATTCATTAAACTAACCTTAAGGAAAATGGAGGAAAATGAGAAATTGATTGAGATGTCCTATAATTACAAATCGAAAAGGAGTTTCGGAAGTCTATAACTGATCAATGTCTGGCTGAGTTCAAGAAACTAGTACCCTCTGCTGGCAGAAAATGTTACTGCAGTATCTTTACCATTTTCAACAACATACTTATGCAAGAAAGCATTTTCCTCATATGCACATCTGAAAACCAAATACAGAAATGAACTCAATGCCAAAACAGACTCAGGACTTTATCTTTCTTCAGTGATTCTGGACTTCCAAGAGCTATGCAGATCAAATCAAGCATATCCATCTCGCTGAGTAGATTATAACTTCAAGACTCCTCATGAGAAATGGAAAGATGAGTGGGGATATTTTTTGCTGTTTTTTAAAATTAAGTAGACTGCTAGGTTGTTTATGAAATTAAGATGAAGAACAAGTTTAGGCTTAATGAAAATGATACGAATTACAAAAGTGAAATCTTGAAAGAGCATTGCTGTTTTCATAATGTAATAAAATTAGTAGTGTAGTGATAAATAATAATGTAATAATAAACAGCGTGTAATAAAAGTGCCATAAGAAAAACTAATTTTATATTTCCAAAATCACTGTTTTTATAATTTATACTCAGGTGAGGAAAAAAATTTATTATTAGGAAAGGCTTCACAAGATTTGGCATTTTCATGAAAGGGGTTTACAGGATGTTAGAGTATGGGAACCACTGACCTATAACTATAACCTCCTTAAGTTTTGCATTGCCATAGCTAACATTATCTTTTGAGTTCCTTCCCTCCTGTTACTTCTTCATCTGCACATGCAAAAGGCAAAATTCTGTTACTTAACAGAACCTGCTCATAACAATTACATTCACTACTTGTAGTCCTAATTGAAGGAATGTGACAACAAGTATCTTCTATGAGTTGGGCAACTAAATTATTTGGAGATACTGATCAAACATGGGCAATATGTAAATATTAAAGGTATATGTACACATATTCCTTATAGACAAACACAAGTGGCTCCAAGTAAAAGACCAGGTTGGCGTGCAAAGAATATAAGGGATAAATTTAAAGTAAAGCATTATAAATTTAAGAATTTTAAATTGACTGCTGAGACAGAAGACTTAGAGAATTATAGAAGATCAAACAGGACTTTAGGCAATATTAAACAGTATATGAAAAGAGGTTAGCTGAAAACGTAAAAATTAAGAGAGAGAGCTTCTTTAAACATATTTAAGGTAAACAAAATGTTAGGAATAATACCTTACAGGAATGATAAATAAGAGCTCATTTCTGATGATTGAGATAGCTTGGTTACTAAATTCTAATATTCCTCAACCTGAAAAAAATGCTAGGTGAAAACATGGTCAAACAAGATAACCACATTTAATTGGGAAATGTAAAGAATAACAATAGTTCTGGACTGGATAATATTTCCCCAAAAACAGAATTGGATATGTATGCCATTTGCTAATATTTTTTATATGCCCTTGAACAGTGGGCATGTGCCAGAAGATTCAAAGTTGGTTAATGTTACTCATCTTTTCAAGGGAGGAGATAAGTATCAAGGTTATTATAGGCCTAATAGTCTTACAGTACTAGTGGAAAAAGTTTTTGAAAGTCTGATAAAATTGCTTTGCCAATTAACTTTAAAAAGTTTAAAATTTTGTTGGACAGTCAGTATGGTTTCACTAGGGAAAATCTTTCCTTAGTTATCTTTGACATTATATGATGTTACTGCTTGTGTAGATGACAGGATGGGTGTGGATTTGGTGCATCTGGATTTTCAGAAAGGATTTCATTAGATGCAAATAAAAGGCTTGTTAAAAAGTTCTCTCTCTAGGTGTGGGAGATAAGGTGGCTTGTTGGATCCAAAAATGCCTAGGTAAAAGAAACCAGAATGTTATAAATGCAGTTCAGTCAAACTGAATTATTGTCACTTGTGAACTATCTGAGGGCTCCGAGATACTACCTTTGATCTTTTTGATTTACATCAATGATATAGATCAAGGAATGGTCAATAGATTACTTACTGCTTGTGATATTAAGGTCTTAGTTGTTACTGGCTGTGAGAATATTGTTGTTGCTTTATAATAAGGGTTGTGCCCTGTTTTTAATAAATCTTTTTTATTGTGCAACTATATAGCATTGAATTATTTTTTAAGTAATGTTTAATACATTCCTCTTTAATTTCTGCTGCTAATTCCCACAATTTTTCTTTATCTACTCTATGCTATTGCTCTTTATCTCTACGCTATTTAGGATGGATTTCAATATTTCCTACAACCTGCAAACTATACAAAGCAATTGCACCTCTTCATCTCAAGCTTTCTTAAAAATGCATGCCAATCCCTATTCTTCAAATAAAACCCACTCTTTACCTATCAAAACCTCCAAACTTTGAACACTTTACATCAAGTTGCTCTTAACCATTGTAGTCTGGGAATCAATAATCAAAACTTAGTACATGTTAGTAGCCTGTTGATAACACTGTTAACATACCATTTGTGGAAAAACATGAGGTCCCATTTATTTAATAAAATATCCATCTGCCTATACCCAGCCCCAACTCTATAAGTTCTCAATATGCCCTCTATTTAACCCTCCAAATCCACGTGTGTCTACCATGTCCAAATGCAATCTATTCCAAATGATCACCATCCTGTTCAAAAAATGAAATTTCCCAATTTCCAAATGAGTTCTACCCAGCCAAATCTTATATCTATGTTTTTTAGTCATACCACTTTTACTAATACTAATAGAAACTAAAAAGATGATACATCAATCCTATTTAATGGTTGGAGACGGCTTGAATGGGTAAAGAAGAAAAACTTTAATATAAGTTTAACATAACAGCAAATGTACAAGGTTTTGTCATCATCAAGAATGAAAATCAATCCTATATATTTCCTTTATAATTTCAAGCACTTCACTCAGGCTTCTTTTCACAGGATAAAGTAATCTTATTAAGATTCTTTGGACCTTAAACTGTTCTCCATCTCATTCTCAGATATCTCATCCTACTATATTACTATTTCTGTATTTATAGTTCTCCTTTTAACCCCTTTTTATTCTTTACAACTCAATCAGTCAGTCCTTAAACTAAGGTAAAGAGAACTAAATAAATATGTAACACTATTTTATCACTACTTTAGGGTAATAAAAGTGATTCTTAAATGTAAAAGGAAGAGATAACTAATCATTTACACGATACTTGTGTAATATTACTAATAACATATACTTTTAATAAACTATAATGTTAAGTTACCAATCGTATTAAATCACTTGATCGTACATTTCACAAAGCTTGGACCTACTATTACTATTGATAATGTTACTAGTAATAGTGCTAATAGTAATAGTTAAAAACACCAGTAACGATCTAAGCTTACTAATAATATTACTATATAGTATTAGTAATAAAAATAAATTATTTCATAGGACCTACCTTTATTTTTATTCTTTCCCATAGTATTAGTAATAGTAGTATTAACAGCTGTAAGAAACTAAATTTAAATATAAGCTGTCTTGTTTGGAATACAAACTAAAAATGTAAAATTAAGGTAACTCGTTATATTTTCAAGGCCTGACATTCCACAGTTACCGCAAATGCGCCATGTTGCAAAAGAAAAGTAAAAATTTAATGTTACTTGAAGTTGGAACGTATTCCGAGTGCTGTTGTCATATGATTGTCAAAAGGAAGAAATATTATTAGAAACAAGCAGACATAAAATTTTTCATAAAAATCAGGTTAACAGCTGATGTTATTTTTTTCCACATCTCTCAGTATTTGTCTATTGCAGATTCAAAATCGCAAATGTGAAAATATAGCATTTCACATCAATCTAGATTTAAGACTCAAACTCACTGCTAAAGAGGACTGTCATGAGTATCAGAATTCGTCAATTGGGCTGAACGTTGAGTGACAAATAATTTTCTGAAACCTTTTTTACGCATAAATAGTATTCTCAGGTAAACTTATTTTTGCGCAAGTATAAGATAGGTCACTCCCGGTAGGAACACTTGAATCCGGGGATCGATCCCCGTGGTGGACATAGTAGATAGCCCAATGTGGTTTTGCTCTAAAATAAACAAATAACGAGGTAGGTCCGCTTTATAACGGGAGGAACCAGCAGAAAATGTATAAAGTATTCTGAATTTGACTAAATAATTGAGTTTTAAGCAGTGAGAAATATTTAGACTGTACTGTTACGTATCTGCTCGTTTGGTAATTTCCCGTAAAAAATATTTCCGAGAAACTTCAGCGATACAAGACTATTCCTAATTAAAACTAGTTTATTCTTTCTCGTTACAAACT